TGTTTCTAAATATAAACTTAATCTAAATAACGTTCATATTAAAATAAATACATAACAATAACTTCGTTTCACACAGAACATATGAAGTTTCAGCACATAAAGGTACTTAATTTATAGTTTTTTATGATTTTTTTCTTATAAATGTTTCTCACCCAATATAAAAAAAATAGATCTAAGAGTATGAAAGACAGAACTCACCAATGACTGTATTATTATACAATATTATATAAAAAATTGAAATACTCCTTAAAATGTCTGGAACGATATTGACGTAAATATTAATACAACGATATATGGAGCCATGTAACAGAAAACAACCTAATGCAAAACGAATTATTTGATTCTTAGGAAACAGAGGGAATCCCCAATAGCCGTGGCACTTGAAATTTATTTAGGCAGGATTAGAGTAAATTAATCTATGAGATCCTTATTTTCTATTTATTAGCTTTATTTTTGTGCGCCAGCAATACCAAGCATGGGATGCGCGTATACCTGATTCAATTTTATTACTCATCAGGATCTGTACAAGCCTACCTTCAAATTGAAATTCTTTAGGCACAAGTAGAGTAAATTAATCTATGAGACCTTAGGCTTGGTCGAATACATCAGTATAAAAGGTTTGACTTCCTGAGTGCAAAAGTGTAATTAGATCTCAAATCGGTCAAGAGGTAACGGAGCTATGAGCTAAAAGTTTGTACTTGAAAAAACAAAATAAAAATACGTCAGAGCTGTTCTATGAGCCGTTATGCCGCGGCTGAAAATAGGAGGAGAAAATACATAGTTCCAGAAAAAGAATAATATTTATATCGTGTTTGATAAACGTCAAAACATACGCGTAATTGAATCTGTCTCAAGTACATAGACTGTTTGCTTTATAGTTTTTGCTGAAAGCTACACAAGGGCTATCGCGCATAGCCTTTCCTTATTTTGAGCTGCTAATTTTCAACAAATACCGTATTTAGTGGATTTACTGGTAAAATTTATTTTAACTGTTGAATTGATATGGGGCTTTATCGGAAAACTTTTGATATTTTATGCTTGTATCTAACATGCTTGTTGATAACATAGCTTGATTTTCATTCATAATGATCCATTTTACGGTTCGGTTTATTATAGAACTCAAGACTTGCGTTTGTGAGTAATCTTATAGTTGAAGTTACTCCTCGATAGGTGAATCGTTCCTGACTCTAACACGTGGTGGAAGTACATCGGTTTGATTTTGACAAGAATTACATTTTAGTTGTTATCCCCTGTGTGTGGTGGGTGTGGGGGGGTAGAGGGATATGGGAAGCGAGCTACAGGAGGTGATTTATTTGTTGAGGGTGTAATAAGCTCATTAAACGAGATCTTTGGACAGTTTGTTTAAACGTTAGTACCATAATTCGGGCTGTGATTAGCGTGATATAAGCGAATCCATTCCCTATTAAAAATTGGGATCCGGTAGAAAAACGTAGAACTGCACATTTTCAGGCGTGCTGTGGGACCACTTTTTGTGACATACAACCTGCACACATAGGAACACAAGTAAAAATATTTATTATATATACATATATATGTGACCAAACATATGTAAAAGAAACTTTTGGAAAATAATACAGCTGCTGTTGAATGTAGATATATAATAGCAATAACACGTTCATTCCTGATTCTGTATCATCGCAGTAGTTTACCGTTGTATTTTAAACATTTTCTGACATTAAGTACTCTTAAGTATGAAAACTGGAAGCCATTTTGGGTTGAAGAACTTCATAAATTTGAAAGTATGCACTGAAACAGATTAAGTAATTCACAATGCAAAATTTCACATATTTTGGAACTATCTTCAAATATCTATAAAAAAATGCTTGTTTTTGACATGAATGAAACACTTCTTATATCCGGGACTTTGTGATGTAGTTTCTGGTAGTGGTTGTGCGGTAGTTGAAAAAATCCAGATTTTATTCTTCCATAACTAGAATAGAATATATCTATATTCAAGTACGTTTCAAAATTTTTTTAGTGCAAGTGTAGTATATTAAGCTAATGTCCTTACAAACAACAATGTCCTTACTACAGTATCATTCAAGAGTGCTTGTGCTCCTCTGGCCACGGATCAATATTGTCTTTATTCTAGTGTGTGTGCTTGTGTGTGCAATACTCAAGTGAAGGGAGAGTGCAGAAAATTCTGCAGCTTGGTATGAGGTTAGAGTTAATGCCACATTGAATGTGTAAAGAGAACTATCACTGTTCTAGATAATTTAGAATTGTGGGATACTGCACTACGATCCTGGTTTGATTAAAAGTGCGATGTTAACATAATCCTTTCTGTATTTATCCTATGAATACTTACTTCATTAGAGTTTCCTAAGTCAGGTAGCCAAGAGTGTTACTGAGAGATTGGTCTGTGTATCTTTTCAAATACATGTAACAAAGTTTGTATCAGATATACAGCAATGGAAATAAATATAAAACCACACAAGTTGTACAATGCACGTGTATTTTGTGTGTGAGCCCTTCGCATGCACAAAAAAATTATGCCTTGTTTTCATGCTGACATAAAGTTTGTCAATGTAAGATTGTGGAATGTTGTTCCACATACCGTTATTATTAGCAAAACTTTAGCCACGTCCTTTAGTCGCCTATTGACCTTCTCAGTTTTAAGTAAACCAATGCAGCCTTATTCTTTTCAAAACTTAGTGCAGGACTAACCATGGTTATGAATGTTTCATCGGCCTCTTCACCAGAAATATATTGTTTCACCTTATTTTCTGCTTTTGGAATCATTGTCTTGCTTGACATTCAGTTCTTACTCGATGAATAGTGTTCCTAGAAGAATAACATGCTGAATCAGAATCTGAATGTGTTAACAGTTAGGACACTGTCAGTTTAGTGTAGATCACCGACATTACTGACTGAGATGCAGCTCTAAACTTGTACTAATCCCTCACCATGTTTCACTGTAGAAGTGGTACATCAACAATTTTTCTCTGTGGTGTCGAACAAACTGTGATTGAATTGTTGTCTAGAAGCTGAAACTTGGATTTCTCTGAGAAGAGCCCACGTCTCCATCTTTGCCCATTCTACTACTTGTAATACCTGATTCAACCTTCTACTTAGGTTACCTCTTCTCAATAGTTCTTTTCTAGCAGTAACTATACATTGAGGTCATTTCGTGCTAATGAATATCTAACTGTTCTTGACGTAACATTCAAGCCCATATTTAAAGCAAGATCGTTTTAAAGATCTGTATTCTATCTTCGTCTATCTCGAAAAGAACATATCCTGAGATACGTAACATCACTTTTGCATAATTTTAGTTTTCTACCTCGACCACTTCTAACAGTGCCATTTTCACATACCCTGTTCAGGGTTTTGCAGATAGCTTCTACTGAAAAATGGAATCTTGCCACAATTTTTCGCATGAATTATCCTTTTCTAGCCAAAACTTTGATTTACACAAGGTTGTCGTGTAGTATATCTGTCTGGGAGCCATGGCTGAAAACGCATTACAATATAATTTTATGCACTTGTATATGCCATATATTGATGTGATACTTTCTGATTGGTTGGATAACAAGCAATCATAATGTAAACTACCAACATGTGATGATTGTCCACTGGTTTTCGTAGTATTTATCTTTTATAAATTTTTTCTCTTCGTTTCTATAATTATTTCCATTGATGCAAATATATCATTTCTTTGTTACACACGATTATTTGAATCTTTCCTTTGATGTCTGTTTAATGTATTCTTTTGTTAGCATTTCTTTCAAACATTTTCTTTTGTGGTATGCAATACCTACCTGTTGGCCAGTGTATTTCGGAATACCACAGTTGAAAAGTGACTGGGGATATTCATAATCAGAATGTCATTCATATGGGTTCTGGCTTGTGCTTATGGGTTTCTTAGGTTGACTAGTGTTGTCCAATTCAACTTGCAAACAGCCAGCTCCTAGGTCAAGGGAACAAAACCAATGGGTTTCTTTCAAGATGTCTAGACTTGGGATAAACCTTTATTTACTAATCAGACAACGAATAATCACATAGCATTGTTACATGTATGAGAAATTGTTTTAATAATCAATATACTGACTGATTTGTAATAAGCCATAAGTGTATCTAAAATATGTGATAATATAACAAAATGGGTTCGTGAAGATGAAATAGTTGAAACTGAGTTTTATCGAGGCAATAGGCTGTTATATAAGAAAGCATTATAACAATTCAGTAAGATTTATTTTTCCACAGCAACAATCGACTTGAAAATCTACCAGAGGATATTTTTATCGGAATGAATAACATCAGAAAAATAAATCTAGCAAACAACAAAATAAAAACACTACAAAAGAAGGCATTTTCTGAAATACTGGAAAAACTAGTGGAATTAGACGTAACAGGTAAACAGTTTTTGTCACTGTTTTATAAAACAAATATGTGTTTTTTATAATGTTTTTAAATAGTCCTTCAACCACGTAAAGATTATTTCAAAAGTTGAAGAACTTATTCTATGAATATCGTGTTTAGCATCTAAAAATACAGTGGTCTCACTGGTGTGGTAGTTGTTGGAAGTAATAAATTTTATTCTTACATAATTAGAAACAATATATATATATATCTTAAGTAAGACATATATAGACACATTTCTAAACATTTTTAAGGTTTTCTGCAAAAAAAAGTTAATCGAGGTCCTTGTAAATAGGCTGTGAATGACCCTAAACTTGTACATATTCTCTATCTTACAATAACGGATACATATCATAAAGGCCATTCTATAAAAGCTTGCACTTGCTTGACCCCTGTTTCTCTGTCATTATTCTCCTGGAAAGTGGGATGCACTGAAATCGAGGAGTGGTATAGATACATATTCAAAATAGTTTGAACTGGAGGTTTATTTTCCCTAAGTATATAATAGGAAAGTTAATTAAGCTAGGTAGTTTAGGATTGTAAGATATTGCACCAGGATCTTTGTTTCTGACTTAAGAGTGCTGTATATCATTATTTTTGCGCCTGTCTCTGATTTGTGCAGAAGTGTTTGCAAGTCTACTCCGACACCACTAAGAGTGTTAATGCTGAACATAGAAACCGACAATTTTGGAAATAGTTTGCGTCACTGTGTTATTAAAAAAAAAGTATCACCCGTTTTTATTTACGTGTGTGCTTGGGCCTCCTTTATTTGCCACCCAAGTTCAATATATTTACTGCTTAACTTTCCACAAAATTTACTATGTACTTAAAATACTTGAAACTTACCTTTTGGAAATCAACGTATCTGGATATTACGCTGGTCCATTAATAATATATTTTTCGCGATGGTTGTTATTATTGTTTTTTCAGCTACACAATGGGCTATCTGCACTCAGTTCACCTCGGATTTTAACTTGTAAGTCTGTAAACTTATCGCCGAGGGCTATTCCATGGTGGTAAAGTGGTATTTTGAATATAAAGGGAAAGACTAGAAGTGCGTGAACTTAAAACCTTTTAACTATGAAACATGAGCCAGGACTAGGTGACAGATATTTATTTTTGGATGTTTATTGTTTACGAAAAATTCAACCAAAAAGATTAAAGATAATAGAATTTCCTAGAAATTCATTCATATAATGTCTCATTCTAATTAAACGATTCGTGGTACCAAAGAGGTGGGTTCCACGAAAATTAATTAATCTGTAATTTCAACTTATAATGTCTCTTATTGAGAATGTATTAGATAAGATTCAACTAATTGCTTAGTCTTACCTTTATACGATCTGTACTTTCAGTTACCAAATGGATGTGACAGAAGTTCATCACATTTCTATTCTGGTTGGTCGTTATTAACTTTGAAATATATACAGAGCTAACACTAAATGCAAACTACAACTTTTTATGTTTTTTTTTCGGTTGCGCAGTGACAAAAAAGGAAAAGGTTGGCTGCAGTGAGTGGATTGACAGAATATGACGATTATCGTGTTAATATATATTTGTGTGGTTGCTATTTATACAGCATTGAACAAGTGTGATTATGAAAATATTTTATGACGTCTACTTCCATACACATTTGATTAAATACAAGGCAAATCAAACAACTACAAAATGGTAATGACAACAATAGAGACAGTTACAGTAGATGAGTACTTATTACATCTATATGACGTACTTTTATTTTATGATGTGGCGAGAATGACGAACGGAACTACAAATTGGGATTGGTTGGTTTTCCACTTATTTTAGTTTACATTAAACTTTGAATACTACACACAGTTATATAGAACAACATTCACCTACTCAGAAGCTATATAAACAAACTGACAGAATGATCAGATTCGGGAACAAAGTTTTAGTTATTGTTAACAATAAAAATGACAACCAGAAGAATACAATATTAGACCACAAATGAAGTTTATCACTGTATGAGAAAGACAAAGATAACATGATTATCATATTTGTGAAAGACCTTAAATAATTGAACATTCACTTAAATGTCTAAGCAGAATGTTGAAAGTTATTGTGTCTTGTAATAGCTGTCATTGTTATGCCTTTATTTTTTATTTCTGTGAATATTTGCTCATTTCTGGGTTTTAATTTTGTTCATTTTGACATTTGTTTCTATTGTATAACAGAAACAAGTCACGCAGCGATGTGACTCTATTAGTTATTTTTGTTGGTTTGAAAGTAGTTTATTGCGACAGTCTTTCTCACTAATATCACAAAATAAAACTTCTACTCGTCAATGTAGCAAATGCTCATTCATTATATACGTTTGGTTTCTTCCCACAATCATATGCTATTACGTGCCATCTATAAGTACAGAAGACGCCAGTTTCTGTGTTTTTTACAAACTATATTCAAACGATATATATATATATAAGTAAATACAAAACTTTTCAAAATGGAAGCAAATATAGGGATGGCTAATATCAATCCTTCAAAAACAATGCAGACAATATAGTAGGGATGAGATTTGCATCATTCCTGTACAGTAACACAGGCACATAGTGTAGTAGAATGTTAACAGACAAAAATGGGATAAATTAAATTTAATTGTGATTGAATAATTATATCTTGATACATATTAATTATTTCCTGTCGTTGTTTTTAACGTAGTGTTTCAATAGATATAGGAGCCCCCCAGTGGCACAGCGGTATGTCTGCGGACTTACAACGCTAGAAACCGGGTTTCGATACCCATGGTAGGCAGAGCACAGATAGCCCTTGTGTAGCTTTGTGCATAATTAAAAACAAACAAACAATTCTTTCACTGTAATATCATTTATGGTATCTTCTATAAACTGTATATCATGCATAGTTTACTGTATAGTTTTTCATTTACTTGCATCTCTCAATTTTCATTAGAATCTCACATCCAGTTAAGTCACTCGCAATTATTCGTTAATCAGTGATTTGTCAAAACCTAACACGAATTAAATTTCATATAAAACAGAAGACATTAAACCTTATAGTTAGTAAGATGTTTAGGATTTTAGATACATAAAAAGCATATGTTAATAACTATCGTTTTATTTTCTCTTTAGGTAATCAAATACGTTGTTGTAAACCTTTAGAGTGGATGTTGTCACTGAAGGAGAAAGGAACCTCGTTAAAAGGCCGCTGTCACTCTCCCTCTAACTTGAGAAACAAGAACATCGCTCAGCTTACGGCACAGGAAATTTGTTGTTGCTGATTTTTTTAGATGCTGGAAATAATTAAATATGCTGATATACCTTTTCGACATTATAAAAATACTGTTTTTGTTTTTTCTGAGGCTAATAAATTTCGCTTAATAGAGAAGACATTTTATAAGTTATTAAACCAATCGATCTCTTTTTTTATTTTACAAGATGCACAATCAGTTAAAATGGGAGTGTTTTTTATTTGTTTTAGTCTTATAAATATAAGTGAATTTACATAATTAAGGAAATAAAGACAATCGTACGTTTTACAAATATTTGTGAAACGTACAATTGCCTTTGTTTTCCTCAATTCTGTAATTAAGGAGTTTCACCAAGTACCGACGGTTTAATTATTAATTATACACACTAGCGGATTGAGGGGGATGCGGGTGGTGAGCCCCTATCCCCTTTCATAAATTTGCGCCCCTACGCACTAAATGCGTTCCTTTTAACAATAAATAATTTAAATAAAACATTATATCTGCTGCCTCTCCTAGTTACAAGCCAATAACTTATAATTAAAATTTTATTTATAATTTTAAATCTAATGTATCATCTGGCTGCATCAATACAAATGATGTATACTGAAATTATTTGGCACCCATCCAGATGATCGCACCCCCATTTCCAAAATCCTAGATCCGCTACTGATTAAACAAATTAATCTATTATGAAGCAGTGGAAGAAATCACATAAGAACATGTTTTAGAATTAGATGATCTGCCAATGTACGAATTAACGCTAACATTTACGACGTTTCTATTATAATGTTTTCACTGATGGCAAAAACAGTACATTCCATGTTTTTTTCTTACATCTAACGCAGTTTTTAGTTTAAAATTTTAATTCATACTCCAAATCGAGGAAGCGAAATTATTGTGTAATTGGAAATTTTAATATTCTTTTCAAATTAATGCCTAAGGAACATTGTCGAAAGTTCAAAAATACACGCGATGCTATCTAAAGACGGCAGCACATCATGTACTAAAAACAAAAATCTAAATAATAAATTTCCTTAACATAATAGAATAAATCAATCCCGACTTTCACCATAATACAAGAAGTAGAAATTTTTTGAGTTGAAAACTTGCAGAACGCTGAAGCTAAACAGATCTTTATATTTTGCATCTTATTGTTTTAATGAAGTTTCAAGGTACAGTTTAGATGCTGTTTGCCTCATGTGCGAAAGGAATCAAACAACTGCTTAAGCGAAAGTTTCCATTTAAAAACTTGTCAGTAGCCGCCCAAGTTTTGGTGTGTTTCGATAAAATTTTACTTTTATGATACAATTTCAAGCAAAGTAACTGGAGATTATCAAATTTAATGATATTTATCAGCAAGTATTACACACAAACTTTTTCAATTTTATGAAAATGTGGCCAATATAAATTAATGTAAAATTGCCATTATTGAACAAACAATCAATGAATCGTCAGAAGAAGAAATGGTAGGGCATTTAGTAGGAACCCTCTCCGTCATTAAGTTTTTTTTTTCAGAATATGCATTATTTTATAGGAGTCGATCCATAATTGAGTAACATCACAAGTTATGAATGGTTTTTGTGAGTAGAGTTGGATAATATTTTTTCATAACCAAGATAATTGTCATGACGTTGTTGTAGCACATGTCGTATGGAACATTCACTATTCCCAAAATTTATGTGAAACCTGTAACGAACTGCTGAGACAACGAGCTCAAATCTCTAAGTGTTTGATTTTGTCGAGATGGAAACGTGGTCGAAGTCAAAGCTAACTGCAAAGGCAAAGTAACAAAATGTTCGAAGTGTTATAAACGTAGCAGGTGTAATGCGATCATACCAGTTGCTCAAAAAGTTAGCTGTAATGGAAGTCAGAAAAGTTTCAGCGGAGAAGGACGTCCAAAGAGAAGGAAGACTGGTGTGGCACGAATCTCGATGCGACTGAAGAGAATAATTCAAGGTAAAGTAAGGAACGGAGAACATGAAGCTTTATTTTTCTAAGCGAAATGCAAGACTATTATAAGGATGAGAGGAGTAATAAAACAATGGCGAAATTGTTTGTTTCTTGTGAATTTTGCGCAAAGCTACACGAGGGCTATTTGTGCTAGCCGTCTCTAATTTAGTAGTGTAAGACTAGAGGGAAGGCTGCTAGTCATCACCACCCACCGCCAACTCTTGGGCTACTCTTTTACAAACAAATAAAGGGATTGACCGTCGTATTATAATAACGCCCCCACGGCCATACACATATAATAACGCCATACACAGCATATACCTCACTCTTAGGCTTCCAGATTTCTGTATCTGAAGAGATAACCCCACCCCATTTTATAGGAAGCGCAACATTGGCATCCGCCATTTTGGACCTCAAACCATACATTGTTTTGTGATAATGATAGCGATAAAGTTGAGTGAGTGCGCTCTGAATCTTTAACACTATACCAAAATGGCTTATGAAAGTAAGTTTAAATAGCTTTATATACATAATTCATATTATTCCATTGGTGGCTTGGACGACTATTCATGTGGGTGACTCGTCTGATCATGATATGAAGTTAAAAGATGATCACTATCCAGAAACTGACAGCTATGTTGTTGATTTCACCAATAGATTAACCAACGAAAGCATGAAATGCTATAAATACTTTGATGGTTATAAGTTATTCTTATCAGGATGGGTGTAAGACAAGAAAGTAAAAGAAACTGTGGCTCGTGTCTTTTTAACTGCTAATGTGAGTTTTATCATTATTAATTTTTTGTATCTCCTATTTTTTATTTCCGATAGTCGCTACTATGAGTATAAAACTGGTATCGAGTAATAGTAGTATTCATTTATTGTGATATTACCAGTACACCATAAATCGTTTGATCTGGAAATGTTTATTAGGGTAGGAAGAACAGGCACCAGAATCCCATATACTGGAGGTAGTGAAGAAATTTGCACAACTCCAGCAGGATTATTATATACCTAAACCTAAGAAGCCCTTTCCAGAGTTAAATATCAGACAGGTACTGAAGAAATCCTTGGAAGGATCTTCAACAGCGTCTTCCTTGACACACTCTGAGGGGTCTACTCCACCATCCAGCAGATCACTGCTGCATCGAATGTGAACATTACAGCATCTACTTCAACCCGAATGCCCCATCTCCCATCACAAGGCTCCCATCAGCAACAACACATAGAGCATCTGACAATGGTACCAATATCAGCTAAAGATCAATTCGTGCTTCTATACACAGTGGTGTCTGACTGACCATAGCCTAGTCTGAAGACAATACCTGTTCCATTGTAATCGCATAAATTACTCGTTAATGCCTCTAGAAATGATATCAAACCCTTATAAAATATCAATACTTTCAATAACAGATCTTGACCATCGAAAAAATTAACCACTTCTAGGTTGGGCCATATTCCAAATATACCAACTTTTGTCCAAATACATTTCCCCCCTTTCGAGAAATCGTGCTAACAAGCATGCAAGCAAACACAAATACACATACGCACAAGGGTGAAAACATAACCTCCGCCCACTTTCGGCGGCGGAAATAATAATAGAATACATTTGCTATTGTAGATGGCTACAAACACTAGCAGCGAAATTATTGCCACATCATAGAGACATCTGTGTGTTGATTCACCCACTATATTCAGTATCACAGAAAATCAAATAAAACCAAAAACCAGTGGCATGAGGCTTTAGCTTACTAAAATGCTCAATATGCTTGTATGCACCGATAATTTCTGAAGCTCTTAGTTTATATAGACTTACCTGTCTGAGAATAAGATAAAGACCAATCCACCCAAAGCTAAGTTGATTTCATGCCACAGGTGCATATCAAAACGATAAATAGCCTCTACACTCAAACTTTTGTCCCTTATTCGCTTTCACGTAGCGTTTCTTTTACTATATGGTGACCTTACCCACTTGATACGCAAGTTTACGTGTGTTAAATAAAGCAGACCTCACACACAATACATATTCCTTCTACACTGTGGCATATCTGCATTATAGAGCAGATCATAAGTCACTTCCACGGGAGCTATATTTCTCAGCCAAATATTAGAATTATTAATTAACAACAAGTTAATGTCTTCTCCAATACATGATGTGCCATCATGACGCCCATTTGGTAATCTGTATTACCTGTTCTGTGAAGTCATCAGGCTGAGGTGTGATATGGTGAAGTAAGCATCTTCACTGCAGCAAACACCTTGCACAACTCAGCAAATAACTGGCTGTTTAAGTTAACCCCTGGCCCACGTAGATTTGTCCGTGTGCTATAAATTGTGCTATCATTGTTCAGCCAATCCATCAGCCATGGACTATTTCAATGTATTAACCAATAGGCAAACTTTAACCCAATTGTTGAAGTAATCAGTAACGAACAACAGGTACCAATTATCTTAATCGGCATCTGGGAGAGGTCCGGCTACATTCAGGACTATTTTTGGAATGGAGAACTGTCTATTCTATGTTGGAATTTGCTCTGTTATAGCCACTTTTATTTCTCATTGCAACATCATTAAATCAAACATACTGTTGGTACAAACGTGCTTTGTAGTCACTATGAGAAAAACCTATACACTGGATAGCTGAAGTGAATAAAAAGTGTCATTGGCCACTATTCAGTTCTCCACATTTTATAGTCTCACAATAGCAGGCATATCTCCTATTGAACATCACTCAATGTCCCATTGCAAATGCATCCAAAATATATTTGGATGTTGGCGCAACTGTGGGTAACATTCTAATACTCTTCAGTTATTCCATCATGGAAAATTCAGAGTATTCATTGCCTTAGAGCTCTGGGGACCATTACAGACATCCCAGGTTTGAGAATTACTGTTTTGTAGCATACATAACAGCTATATAGCACACCATCCTCAACTTGTAACTACTCAAAAAATATCACAGTCATATGCATCCACACTACATTCTTCTGTTGGTAACAGTCGTACTTTGCTTTGATGCATGAAAAGTAGTGTTCAAGCTTTACAGAGATAAGTATTTTTAATTAAACGATTTTGGAGTCTCTCCACGTTGTTACAGTCCATGTTACTACATCTGGTTATTCTCTATCTGATGACTGTGCCTCTTGACAATAGTCCTGCAGCATAGTTTACATTGCAAAAAGCTCTA